GGGGGGGGGGGGGGGGGGGGCGCGAGAGAGCGAACGATATGGGGAGAGAGCGGGCGGGGGAGAGGTCGAACCAGTCAGGAGTGGAGTGTGCGTGCCCTGCCGACGACTGTGGCGCGAATAGCGCAAAGCGAACCTACTACCAGATCTCCCGGCTCGCCTCTAGCAGCACACGTCCGCAACCTGGCTTTGTTCAAAAATGAAGATGGCGCGGCTTTGAAATCCGATAAATTCCTGATTGGCCGATCCCGTCGTCGCCCGTATTTCACCGCGGCCACCGGCGAGCCGCGATTTTATAGCGGCGCACGGCGTTCCGCGACTTTCCGAAGGGATTCCGCGTGCGACGCGGCCGCTCCGGGTGGAAATAAAATTAAAACTCGCGGAGGACGAGGGGTTCGAGAGTTCGTGGCCCGAGCGGGACGTCCGGTTCGAGGCTACATCGCTCGATTCAAATAAGCCTTGGCGCTGCGCGAATCTTCTAACGTGGGTTTTCGAGGGGATCTCGCGCGTTCGCGCGAGAAATCGATAGACCGTCCTATCCGAACGATGACCATCCGCGATGACCGCGGGACGACGATCGAGCGGGGAATGGACCCGCGATCCCGCTCGTCGCCAATTTCACGTCGCTCGCCGCGTTAGCGCCCGCCCGACTCGCGTGCGCTGTGCTTACTCGACTTTTCCGAAATTCTCGCAGGTGCGCGGTGTTCTAATCTAAAATTAACGTCGCGCGTCCGTTCGCATGTGTCAAGCACAAAAGGATTATTATTTTTTACTTTACTATTATTAATTGTGCTCTTCTTTTTTTATTATTATGCGTCAGCAAACAATCGAAATGACACATCTTGACCTTAAAAAACACACACACATATACATTTCTTAAATAGCATCCCTTATTATAATAATACAGCGCTCGACCGATCCTAATAAAAAGTTTGGTCGAAAAATCTCGAGTCATTTTCTTCTACACAATGCCCGATGATATACAGTCATTACCAAGTGAAGCTAAATCAATCGTAAAAGACAGTCCAATCGGTGCCGTCCTTTAAACGGACACACATCCGCGCTCTCGATAGTGTACGTTTCTCCACTAAAAGACAGCGCCGATTGGACTGTCTTTACTCGGATATAATATAGAACCGCATCGTCGGGTACCAAGGAAAAAATGGCTTGGCACTTTTCGACTCAATTTCATTCTTATTAGAAATAGCGCTACATTCTGTAATGTACGTTGATTCGTGTCGCACACGTTCCTGGGATATCACAGTTCCTCCTCGCTCCTACGCGCTCATTGAATGCATCGGAGTGAATAAGAAGCGTGTTGGAGCACGCGACGCGAACGAATCTTACGATTGGTGAGCGCTATTTAAGAAATATATCGCTTACGTGCGCGTGTGTGTGTTATACATAAATATATTTACTGTTTAGTTCACGTGTACATACATATAGTCACTGCGTGTCGTACACACGTTACTCATACATAAGATTATTAATTAGATAAGTTAATCGTTAGACCGGATTCACCTTCATAAGTGCGAAGCTGCTCGTTTATTTATATCCGATGTAGCGCGAATAACGAAGGGTAGCTTATTAATATAAAATTGCACTTATGTATTATCGATTGGATATTTTCTATAATTTTGACGCCAGTTGTGTCGGATGGCGTAAATGCGAGATAGCGGGCTACGCGGAGACTTTGCTGATCGCACTAAACCGCGAAAGCGTCTCCCCTCGCAGCGATGTCGTCCGCGGCTGGAACTCGGAAATATCGCTGCATCGGTCGCGTTGTATTAATAATTATGTATATGTGCAACGCACAAAAAATATACTCAAGGTTTCTGAATTTATTGCAACGCAATGAGGGTAAAGCGCATGCTCGGGCGCACTACATGGCCGCCGCAGGCGCCACCATTTCCGGTGTGTCTCTCTTTTCTCCCGATTGCTCTCGATACGTTCCAAGATGGTAGGTGAATATGTGATTTTCGCGAGTTTTCATCCGTAAATATTCTAGAAATCTTTAGAATCTTTCACTTCGCGATATTGCATTTACGTTTTTAATTACGTTTATCGCAATTTGGTGGGAATATCTGTCACTACGATGCAGTAATTCGATGTGGGGGGGGGACATAACCTACTTTGTTCGGAATGACTGACAGAGATGTTTTTACTCCGCGCAACACGCGATGATGCGTAGCGTATATTTATTCGAATTATTTATAAAGCTCGGAAATCAGACGTATCTCGAAGATCGATTACTTCGTCGTTGTACAAAATTATGTGTCGAGTCTTGGAATTTTACACGATTGTTTCTCATTCTAGGTTAACGTGCCCAAGCAGAGGCGTACTTTTTGCAAAAAATGCAAGGTACACAAGAATCACAAAGTGACGCAGTACAAGAAGAGTAAGGAGAGACATGCCTCGCAGGGCAGAAGGCGTTACGATCGCAAACAACAAGGGTTCGGTGGTCAAACCAAGCCCATCTTCAGAAAAAAAGTGAGTGATATGTTGACAAAATAAGGGTCTCTTTTACCAACTTCGATTAACGCTAATTCAAGGCTAACTCAATTATCATGATGTCAATGTGAGAATTAAACGTAGTTTATCTTAAAAGAGAAAGAAAAGAAACGTACTAATATATTAAATTGCTACTGGTATTTCTGTGTGTTAATCGTTGATTAATTTATTTGGAAGTTGGTGAAAGACGCTCTAAATCCAACAACAATAATAAATTATATTTATTTAATGACGTAGCAAAACGAGTAGAAGTATCTTTTAGCAAATTCAGATTATACCTGTTCTTTCTAGTACATTCGTTCAAAATGAAATAAATACAAGTATATTTGGCAAAAGTACAAAAGGCAATGTTAGTGCTGCTGAGACAACGACAAAAAACAGACATTAATTTATTATAATGTTTTTTGAGAATATTAATTAAAATGTTATAATTCACTTCATAACAATAATGATAGTATATTGATTTTTATGCTAAATTAATTTTTTTACATTATTTTAGGCAAAGACGACAAAGAAAATTGTACTAAGGATGGAGTGCACGGAATGCAAATATAGAAAACAAATTCCATTAAAGAGATGCAAACACTTTGAACTGGGTGGTGACAAGAAGAGAAAGGCAAGTATCGATACATCTAAAAAATATTCAAATAAAAATAAAATGTGCATTAATTTTGACTAACAGTCTACTATTTTTTTTATTTTCAGGGTCAAATGATTCAGTTTTAAGCTATTCAATGTTTTACATTCTGCATTCTGTATTTAATAAATAAATCTATAAGGATTTGTACATGTCTTTATTCTGTACTTTATAATGCAAAAACGTCTAATATAAAATAATTAGCGATACAGCATTAAAATATTTACCTTAATATTTATTCATCTTGATTCTCATCGTTTTCTGACAATCGTAGTACAGAAACTACCTGTTGTGGATTGCTACCAATATAAAAAAAAAAGTCTAAAGAAATTTATCCTTATGTATGTTAAGCTGTGTGCAAACTGAGATTATATACATTAGAGAGTAATTATTTTTCATAAAAAATATAAGAAATCAAAAATTATATGGTTAATATTTAAGTATAACTGTTAATTTTACTATTCAAATTAAAAGTAAATATGTGCTATTGTTCATTAATCGTATTGATATATGAATGCAAATATATAACTCCTATATAAGAGAAATATCAAGACTTACCCCAATATAGATGCGTCCAATCCTTCCTGTTCCATTTTTAATTTAACTGCTTGTTTTGGTACACCAAAGTGTAACATTTTCAAGTATTTTTCGTAGCGTGGATCTTTAGCTGCAGACTGTGTTTCTTTCTGTTCGTCCTTAGACTCTATCTCATTATTATCAAGTTCATCTGCTTCGCTTATTTCTACTAATTTACTTGTATTATTCTCATTAACATTATTTGATTCCTTACAATGTTCTTGTTCTAAACCAGGTATAGAAGATAACTGCGCAGAAGCAAAGTAAAATATTTAAATATATTTCAGGAGCAGAATAATTTATTGTAAAAGATTTCTTCCTTCTATAATTTATTCTTTATGCACCACACAAAAATACACGTACCCGCGATTCTAATATTTCTAATGACGCCTCCAACTTTTGCAATTTATTTTCGAAATCGAACAATCTCTCCTCGCAGGACAGGGCGAATTTATTCAAAAACATGACGGTATGAGTAATAAAATGATTGATGAAAGAGACCGTTCGCTTTTGGTTGATCGACGGTACCTAGAATACAAACTATTTGAAGTCTGCCCCTATCGCGGAGCATCTTAACAAGCATTGTTATATTTGACAGATGACATGTGCATGCATGAGATACGTCAAAATCTTATCGACACCTTTGTATAATCTATAGTCGGCTCGATTAGCGGTATTTTATAGTCACTCATCGTGGATTACAGTCGTACAGAAATTTTCTCTATCAAGATTAGTTTATCAACAACTGTCAACAGTATCGAATCGACTAACATCATACAAAACACCTCGGTACACCTCTGTAAACCTACGGTGTAAAAAACGCGCATACATTCTCTAACAACCAATGAGAACGTGACATTATATGCTGCACGTAGCTGCAGTTATTTCATTGCGTTTTCAATTGGCAAAGCTGTCGATGCACTTAAAGCTGCTTCACATGCAACGTAATTTTCGTCAAGTGCAACTTGCGTCAACCAATCAAATATTATCAAAACTATAATAATAATAATAATAAAGACTCCTTATAATAGAATGATTTATGAAAAATATATATCAAATTGTATCAGCTACCATGCCTTATTCTTAGAGCGGGTTCACACCTTGACGGAAAAGCAGAAGAGCAGTAGCCAATCAGAACTCGCGCTGGTAACAAGTAGTGTATATATATGTATATATAAAAAACAAGCTCTCCTATTGGATATCGTACGCAGTGTGTGAATCTCATGGCCTTCTACAATGAGCCATTACTTAAGTTTTAAGTGTTAAATCATAAGAAATTGACCAATCACAATCGAATGTGAGAAGAATAATCGACTGTGAGTGGTCAATTTCTGATGACTTAATACTTAAAACTTATAGGTAATGGCTTATTGTAGAAGGTCTATCATATTATGCCAGTGACACACGGTGCTTGTTTTCCTGCTAGATTGCTAGCTAGATCAGATTCTTGCCATCGGATTGGCCGCGATATTGGCACTTTCAGCACCGCAGCTTATACGGTGGCATTCTAATCCAGCTAGCAATCCAGCAGTAAAACAAGCACCGTGTAGAGTCCTCGATATCAGAAAGGCGCAACCAACGTTCTGCGTCCTGATTGGCGTGTGACTGTCAGCCAATCATGACATTCATTCATTGGTATTAAAAATGGCTGACTAATAGACGATAGGTGGATTTCATATTTCGTCTGCAAACGACGCCATTTTTATTACGTTTCTTAAAATGTAAGATCGTAATCTTGATTGTGATTGGTCGATTTGCTTGCTTAAGACCTTAGGGCTACGCAGAATAAAAGGAACAGAGAATAAGAATTTCAACCTATCAGAAATCATATACTGTGGAATAAACAGGTTGTATTCCATAGTACGTGATTTCTGATAGGTTGAAATTCTTATTCTCTGTTCCCTGTTCCTTTTATTCTGCGCAGCCTCCTGACGATTGCTACTAAAATTTTTGTATGTACGTGCGATGGCCTTAATTGACGACACCACGCATGTGGAGCAGCATGGAGTATTCAATGGAAACGTACCTTACGTGTTTCTGCCGTTTCTAGGCTCGAGCTTTAAAAAGTATATATGTATGTAACCTATTCTTTTTGGCTGCACTTTCGGTACTTTTTTTCAATTTTCTCTCCTTCCTTCTTCAGCATACTGCGGTATACTCCCTAATTATTCTAATATCCTCTATATTTCGTAATTTATATTCTGTGAATGCGACTTATGCATTTTCAACATATGAAGTATGACGTGTATGACAGTTAAATAGAACATATTTACTATGGTGGTTTTGCGGTGCATTACCCGACGTCGTCTGTTGATCGTTGGAGGTTAAGTTCGTGGCTTCAAGCGAGGAACATTCAGCTGTGTTTCGGCGGGTTCGGCCTCGGACGAGCGTATCCGTTTGTCCGCTGGGATCTGACTGCATGGGTATTTCGCGATACCGAAATATTTTCTGAAATATGGATTCTCTGCCAAACTTGGAGACCGTTTACCAGGCCGTGTTCTCTTTATATAACAATACAAATCCGGCCGAACCAGGAAGAGCGTCATTATGGTTGGGAGAATTGCAAAGATCGGTGAGCGCACTTTAAATTTTATTATTAAGTTTTTAAGTTTTCTCCTAAATTTAACGTTTGTATTGTTACATGAAATACAGACATGTTTCTCGATATAATTGTATCAAATTCATCTTGAATACAAAATATGGAAATCTGTTTTCTAACCTTAAAGAGAATAATTGTCATCCTGATACAAGAATATGTTATACATGTTATTCTAGGTCTATAATGAGTTGGTAGTTTGTAGTTGGTGAGTCTAAAGTATAATCAATGAATCTGTACAGTTGGCCAGCTTCCAACTTTTAAAGTCCTATTCACTGTGCTAGAGATTGGTCGAAGTTCTTGGATCCAGGAATGTATAACCATTGGTTCAGCAGAAAAAGCAGTTTTGTAACTGTTGTAAAATTTTTTAATATAATTGATTCTTGTTTTTGATTCCTTATAGATGTACATGTATAAACTAATCATCATACTGAAGAATTTTGTAACAATTGCAAAGCTGTTTTCTTTGCTGAATATAGCCAATCAACATATAATTTTTATAGAACAATGGTATGTTGATTGGCTACACATTTCTCATTATGACAATTTGGATCAATTTTTAACATTATGGATACAAGGCTTAAGACTATCGATTACTGACTCATTATACATCCGTTATTATTACATTATTAAAAAAGCTATTAGATGTAAAACTATTAATGTTGCACTTTTTACTTATATTTTTGGATATAAGATTTAATATATATATGTTTGTTTATGTTTATATGTGTCTATAGGTATTTGCATGGAAAATAGCTGATGAAATGTTACATCAAAAACGAAATATAGAATCCTGTTATTTTGCTGCACAAACAATGCGTACTAAGATCCAGCTGTCTTTCCATGAGTTACCCCAAGAAGCTCATATTTCATTACGAGATTCGTTAATAGAACATATATCACAAATCAATGAACATACTAATTCTGCCATTGTTACTCAGGTATTTATATAAATTCTTGCACAAAACTACTCTTTTATAAATTTAAAAGATTTTTATAATTCTATAGATTACTCTAATCTTTATTAATACTATTAAATTTTCATGCTTACAGTTATGCTTAGCTTTAGCAGATTTGGCCTTACAAATGTCTTCTTGGCAGAAACCAGTTGTAGATTTAATTAATAGGTTTGGAGGAAATGCTGCAAACCTTTGGCCATTGCTTGAAATAATGACGGTACTTCCAGAAGAAGTAAATTCGAGATCACTTAGGTATGGTACAACATCTTGCTTATTTGATATCATAAAATGACAAAACGGATTTATTTTATTTTTGTATAGGCTGGGTGCTAATCATAGGCAACATATACTGCATGAACTTAATGCAAATGCAGATACTGTGACAGAATTTCTGGTATGTATAATATCCATGGTTGTGGATAAGTTAGTCTTTTTCTGAATTAAATTATTGTTATATAAAATTATCTCATTTGTGTTTACATAAATCAAAAACTAACTTATAAGAGAATCTCGCGAAAATGTCAAATTTTTAATAGGGGAAAATAAAAAAGTAATTATTATTTAATATTTTATTTATTTTCAATTTTTAATTATAACATGCCCAGAAGTTTATTATCTTATTTTAATAAAACCATGTATATTTTGATACATATAAAACTACTTTATAAACACTTATATATATACACACACACACATTTTATTTTAACATTGGTATTTCATATATAGTGTACTTGCAGAAATTGTGCCTAAAAAACAGCGGTGATAATTTACAAATCCAAGTTACTATTTTGCGATGTTTTACCAGCTGGATAACCGTTCATGCAATACCGCTCAAATCTGTACCCTCAAGCGAGGTAGTGATTTATGCCTTGCAAGTAAGTCTCTTGAAACTGATAAAATATTTTCAGGAAAACTAATTGTTTTCTATTCATCTTTATTTTTTATAATGACTATTTTTCAGGTACTCAGCAATCACATGGCTGTTTCACAATTACACGAAACGGCTACCGATTGTATCTGCGTAATTTTGCAAGCGTTAGGAGAAGATAGTAATACTAATCGTGATAGTGATAATGAAACGAGCGTGCAGTTGCAGCAATTACAATTGTGTCTTTTCACAAGTGTAATGAATTTAGAACAACCATATCACTTATCTGTTGCGCACGAAGACATGGAAAAGTAATTTATTTAATTTATCTAAATATGTTTGTAGCATACCCTAGCCATTAAATATATTACAGGTCTATAAATTATTGTCGAATATTTACGGAACTGGCCGAGACATTTTTAGATACTATGGTGACAGGTAGTGAAGATGGAAAGCAGCATTACGCTATAAAAATTTTGGACCTTGTCCTTACGTGTGTCGGTCATCATGATTATGAGGTATTTAAAATATATAAGATCCAATAACTTTTATGACAACGCTCATGTGTAAGTGGAGAATGTATAAACAGAGTCGAAAAGTCCTGTAATTTGGTAATTTTCGGAATAATCAAGGAGATATATTAATTATTGAGAATCATTGAATAAGAGCCCAACGATTACAGATATTTAATACGCGAGTTTTTATTTTCTTTTGCTGCTCATTCTATTATTGCTGGGCATGCATTTGGCAATAGGTAAAACGAATAATTCAATGATCTTTAGTAATTAATATTTTGTTAATTATTGAAAAAATTGCAAAATGGCTCATTGTCAGTTCAGTTTATTTTACTTGCATGTGAAGATTGTCACAAGAGTTATTAAGATACTCTGCATATCGATTTATTTTTTATATTAAAAATTAAGTATTACTGATTGAATAATATCTTTTGCTAAGGTTGCACAGATAACTTTTAACCTGTGGTATCGGTTATCAGAAATTCTTTATCAGAAAAATAACGATGATCTTAATGGCGTATTTCGACCTCATATTGAGAGACTGATCGGTGCTCTCTGTAGGCATTGTCAAATGGAACCAGACCATGTCAGTATATTTGCTTTAAAATTTTATTACATAATATTTTACAGGAAACAAAATAGATAATTATATCAGAAAATGATGTATTGATTACCAGTTAGGTCTCGTCGAAGAAGGAGGAGGAGGAGAAGAGTTTGCTGACTTCCGAAATCGTGTATCGGATTTGATAAAAGATGTAGTGTTTGTAGTTGGAAGTAGTCACTGTTTCCGACAAATGTTTTCATCGCTGACCGGAGGTCCTGGCCCACAGGGTCAACCTATACATACACCTACTTGGGACTCGACCGAAGCTGCACTTTTTATAATGCAGGCGGTAGCAAAAAACATTCTACCGTACGTTCTTTTTATATTCGTTATGAGATAACTAAAGATTATCAAATATTAACAGTGTTTTTGTTTAACAGAGAGGAAAATGATGTGGTTCCGAAAGTTGTAGAAGCTATTCTTAATTTACCAGAAAATACTCATATAGCCGTACGCTATACTAGTATTCTACTCTTAGGCGAGCTATGTGAATGGATAGATAGGCATCCACAATCATTAGGTAAGACTTGGATAAATACTTGTCACGTTCGAATATCTCAATGACATTCAAATATACTTTATGTTATTTCAGAACCAGTTTTAAATTTCCTCTTAGAATGTTTAAATCAAAAGGGTTTAAATCTAGGAAGTGCTGCTTCAGGCGCATTATTAAGTATATGTACAGCTTGTCCACTGCATATGACAACGCATTTCTCCGGACTTTTGCAAATAGCACATTCTCTCGACAATTTTGCTATTAGTAATGATGCAGCTATTGGCCTACTAAAAGGTGAGATAACATTTTGTAGGGGGGCTATGTTAAAAATATACACGATTATGAATTATTCATAATCGTATTATAAATATATATATAGATTCATTATTTTATGGTAAACTGAAAAACGCTAATTGTTATGACAGGAGTATCGATAATTTTGGCGAAATTACCACACGAAGGAATTACTTCGGCAATAACAGAATTATGCTGCTTTCAAGCAAGTTCCCTATGTAAGCTTCTGGCAGATAGAGTTCCAATCGAGAGAGGAACAAAGACTGATCCTGTGATATGGCTGGATAGATTAGCTGCTATATTTAAACATACTAATCCTCAAATTGATGATTCTAATAAACCTCATCCTTGTCAAAGTGCAGTCACTGAAGTGAGTGTTATGAAAAATTTAGAAGTGAAATTCTTTATATATTAATGACATTATGTATATTTATAGATGTGGCCTGTATTGTCCAGTGTATGTGAAACATATCAGCGAGATGTAAGAGTCATGGAGAGATGTTGCCGATGCATACGTTTTGCAGTACGCTGTGTGGGCAAACATTCTGCTCATTTGCTTGAGCCAATTATAAAACAAGTAATGACCAAGAATATAATATGATATCTAAGGCTGCTTTCACATGCAGCGTAATTTGCGTAAGCGCAACTTAAGTCATCCAATCAAATAGTATCAAGCTGTATCAGCTACGCCTTATTATAATTGAGACAATTTGATTGGCTGATGCAAGTTACGCTGCATGTGAAAACAGCCTAATGTTCTAACTGCACTGTTATTAATGCACTTGTTAAATACATAGTTCTTGTTTCCTTTTTTTTTTTACAGATTGTACCGTTGTATACAGTACATAAACACAGTTGTTTCTTGTACCTTGGTTCTATATTGGTGGATGAGTACGCGACTGATTCAGAATGTGTATGGAATCTGTTAAATATGTTACAAGCTTTCATCTGTCCCACTTTCGCCATTCTTGAACAAGAAGACGGTTTAAAAAATCATCCTGATACAGTAGATGATCTGTTCAGGCTCTGTGCCAGGTTTTACGATGATTAATACTATCGATTGACGTTTTTATTGAAATTTTGTCTGATATTTCGTTCTTTTTTTGTATAAAAGGTTTCTTCAAAGAGCTCCTATTCCTTTATTACATTCTCCTGCTATCAGAAGCATTGTAGATTGTGCTATAACGGCATGCAGTTTGGACCACAGGGACGCTAATAGTTCAGTAATGAAATTCTTTTATGATCTTTTACATAGCGGTCGCAGTTGTAAGGTGATTCTTTGTGAATCTTTTAAATGAATATTGAAATAAAATCCTTCTAATGTGTACATGTAATTTATATAGATTAGTTCCAATTATAGGTTTAATGTTTTTTTTTAGGATCGATCAGACTACACGATACGACGACAATTGGTACAAAATATATTGCAAGAAAAAGGCCAAACATTAGTAGTAAAGTTACTACATGCTTCAGTGTTTGAATTGTCTTCTTACATGTTGTCTGATGTGGCGGATGTCATTATAGAACTTACCCGAAGTGATGCAGATGTATGTATTTTATTGTTATCTTAGTTTTTATCTTAGATGTTTCGCATTTTACATGGAGAAATCATATCTTTATCAGCTCATGTCAAAATGGTTAGAAGAAGCTATTAAGACAATGCCATCGCAAAATGCAGGCGGAGCTCCTACAGCAACACACGATCAACTACTTGAATTTCACAGTATAGTCACGAGGTATGTAATATATGACTTTATGTCAATGCTTATTAATTTAGATCAAACATAATATCGGACAAATTTTGACAAAAGAATTAATATATATTCATTTATAAATTATGAATGTGTGTGATTGGTTTAATATCTACTTAGATTATTATAAATTTTTTTAGCAATTAACAGAACTTAATTGATTTGTATCTTTTGTTTTTATGATATTTAGGTCAGAAACACCAAAAACCGTCACAAATGCTCTACGAAATTTTGCACGCCTGTATCGCTAATGCATTTTAATGTATATTTACTTTGTTAAATTCCTCAAAAATTATTCATAAGATCTTCCAACAAATTTCGATTAAGACCTTTTAAAATAACAAAATTTGTTATGGAAATCTCAATGCTATACAAATATATCAGGAAAAAAGTACGAAGATTTTTTTATGTTCTTACTATCTATAGCTATGTTTGCAAACTATACACACACACACACACACACACACACACACACACACACACAGATATACACACGTATATATATGTATATATTGTATTTGAATATAAAAATGACTTTTATAAATATATATCACAAAATTCTTCTTCATATATTTAGTTTTATCAACTTCTTTCAATTGTTATGTATTTATATTAGAAATACATCTATGTTTTAATAGATATTTATTACTAGATATATGTATACAAATTAACATATACATAAAAGAAAAATGTTTTTTACTTTTAACGTGATAATGAAGTATCTTCGAACAATTTTAGATAGAATATAGAAATTAAATTTTTTTTTTTTGCAGACATACTATAAATAGTAAATTCACAGAATCCCTTAACACTAGAACTGTGGCGTTTATGGGTCTTCCGTTAGAACCGCGTATAGATCACTTATGACTCGTACTCTTTTTATGATTTTTGGATAGGTAAATATAATGGTAACTAAATAATACACTCTTGTTAATCAAATTGTAATATCAAAATCTATGTATGACCATAGTTAACGAAAACATTACATACATACTGGCTGCGTTTAGCAGAACGTTTATTTTGCAACTATTGGAAGTTTTCCTCCTTCGTGCTGATTGGATTATACTTTTAGATCTAGAGGAACAATCCTGTTTCAGCAAACAATTATAAAACAGTTGTAAAATTGTTGTGTTCTGCTGAATGCAGCTATAGTGAAATAAAATCAAGAAGCGTGCTATACCAATCAAAGTCTTTCGTTTCCTTCCTCTCCACGAAATAAAGAATTCTGATTGGTTAAATTTCTTATGCCCTATATGTTATGCAAGAGTTTATGCTCACTTCTTATTATTCCCTCCCCCCTCCCCCCCCCTCGTAGCTGAACAGCGTTCAATTATCACGTATAGAGTATAGAAAATTTTCTAGAGAAATAAAAACCGGTACCGATGTAAAATAAGAATGAACTGATCTTAATACATCGTTATCAATGGTGAGTCTAACTTGTCCCACGATCGCAGTTTATAGTATATCTAAATTTTTATCAAAGAGAGAGAGAGAGAGAGAGAGAGAAGGATAAAAAGAGGGTCATTATAAAATTAAAATTACTTGTAATGTAAATCTCCAGATGCAAATCCAAATTAATTGGGAAAGAAAGAACTATTAGATGGATAAAAAATGATACAGCTGCGGTTTTAGTGTTAAAATCAGGATTGGGTAAGTTAGTAATTTTTTAAACTAAATAAAGTTAAAGTTAATGGCTTATAAAATTAATAAAATTAAATTAAAAGTTAAAGGAATAAAAAATTAACTTAACTAAAGAGTTAAGAATGAATTAACTTTAGTTAAAAAAAAAGTTAATTTAAAAAAAATTATTTTTGACATCAGAATGTAATTTTTCTTAAAATGAAATTACTTTAAATAACAATTACAATATAGATTTTATTAGATTTATTATATATTATTAAAAGTAACTAAATTAAGTTAAAAATTAATTTCATTTAAAATTAACTAAGTTAAGTTAAAAGTTATTAATTTTTTATAACTTTTAATGTTTTAACTAGTTATTACCAAACTCTGATTAAAATGATATATATATATATGTCTGTATGCATATATTAAAAATTTTATTTATGTATAAATCATATTTATATATGTAACATTATTTAAAAAATTCTAAATTTTATTAAATATTATATTTCAGTATTGTGTGTTGTTACATATACTTACGCGTACACTCAATATAAAGCAGATTAAATTTTCAAATTATGAATGTAATTAATGACATTTATTTATGTCAATGTTCCTTTTTACAATTTGGGACGTTTTGATCAATCAAAAAATCAGCTTGAGACAATTGCACAACCTCGAAAATGGAATACTTTATATTTTTGTACCATGATCTTATCATCTTTGCAAGATTTATAATTAATAATAATTACATAGAAGATACAATATATTTACTGTGTATCTACAAGGTAAAGGCTGCGTACAATGAAGGAACAGGAGAATAAGAATTTCAACCAATCAGAAACGATATACTATAGAATACAGTTTCTGATAGATTGAAATTTTTTTTCTCCTACTCCTTCATTGTGTGTGTACGTAGCTCTAAGGCACATCCACAACTGCGTTCTAAAACTCAACTCTGCCAACCTGAATATCAATGGGTGCGTCCAAGCCCGAACAAAGCTACTAATCTGCTCGCCGACCGATTAAATATGATTGATTGGATCTGTAAGTAACAACCAATTATGTTCATCGAATTGTTTAACAAGTCATATAACTTGTGTTTCTAAATGGAAAGCACTGTTAATCAACATATTTAAAAACAGATATTTCTTAAACTCTAGTAAGAGGGAAGGGGGGAGAGAGAGAACACTCACTTAAAATTGTTGTATCTTTTATATCTTTGATTTTAGGACCTTTGGCCCAAGAAAAACTTTTGATTAGCATCACTTAAATTAAAACATATTTCAATTTCTTTTTGAGAAATATTTTTTCTCAAGCTATACAAACTGTTAAATATATGTAATTTTAACAAACATAACAATGTGATACTTATTAAGATACAACTGTATTATAAAAGTTTTTGAAAAATTAGTCAAAAGCATATTAAAGTACAAATTTTAAGTTCTAAAATTCTGTTTTTATTTTTTGTTCTCTATGATTTTTTTTACCGAGTTTCGATGATTTGAAAGTTGTGTAATTTTGAACGTTTTGGAAGTGTTCCTATATTTTTAGTTGAATAGTGTATGTAATATCATACGCTGATATCGCCGCCACCCCGAGTCAAATATCGCGCACAATTAGCAGCAGTCATAATAACGCTCGACACAAACGGTAAAGAGTTGTTTTTTTTTCTCCAACTGGTATTACTTGATAACAACGGTATTTATTTCACATATATAATATTTCTGCATAACTATAAATACTAGGAATTTATATTGTGTATCTTGAAATAAGGTGAAAATTGCAAAATTGGGCAAATGCATTAGATATTGACCGATTAAATTATGAATATTTTAATGAATTTATTCACTTTTGTAATTTTCACCTCATTTCGAGATATATAATTGATCCCCTATTATACTCCGTAAGTGAAATGCAAGCAACGGCCGGGTATAAGTGTCCCTTCTGCCGCCCCACGCCGCTCTTTTCACGTACATTTAAGGCTGGGTCCACAATCTCGCTTTGAGAGGCCCTAAACCATAAAGCCGTAAGAAATTGACCAATCATAGTTGAATGCGAGAAAAATAATCGATTGCTTTACGGCTTAGGGCCTTTTAAAAGCGAGAGTGTAGACCCAGCCTTATGCCTATATTTATGCCCATCGAGCGACTAGGACTACACTGAACCAAAACCACTGATATATATAATATATATATTATATATATATATATATTATATATATCAGTGACCAAAACTGTACATAAATATGTAATAAAATATTCATTGAATTAATGAAAATTGGTTCAATAAATTCTTTTAATGATTCATATTATAAAACTATTATCAGAATTGCAAGAATAAATATGTATATAATTATATCAATGAATCCAGTTATAAAAAAATTAATTGAACTTTAGGTTGCGGACATTGATTAGCGAAAGAGGCGGAAGGGATAGGAGAGAGGAGCAGCAAAGCTAATTCAAGCAATTATTTTTCACGAATTTCAACACATTTGTAACATCTCTCCCTTAAGCCCATTCTACAATCGCGTAAACATAGTTGTAAGTGGCTTGTAGTTGTAAGAATTGACTAATCACAGTCGAACATTCTCTTCGTATTTGACTGTGATTGGTCAATTAATGTAATGCCCGGAAAGAATTAAGATCGACTACGGGTGCCAATCCTTTGCCCTCTCTTCCCCCCTGTTCCCTCTTTCAAACCCTTCTTCTCCCTCTTTGTCTGCAACCGATACTCAAAGCAATTTTGCAGAAGAGATATTGAAGCTCTGCCAAGCATTCGGTTCTCCGCACAAAGAAGCGACCCCCCGTTACATTCCCTTCACTGCGAACGCATCTTTGGTGATCCTTGCTCTCATCCTTTTGTTTCCCTGCTCGCTCGAGCAGATCGAGCGCGATCGCAACCGTTTAACTAATTGACCAGTTTAAGCAATTACGTGTTCTCTCTTTCTGCTCTTTCTCTCCACTCGAATTGAATCGTCGCAATATTTATGTCTGAGTCAATGTCGTGAATGACTCACGAACTGACAAATCGTTGACACGTTGTAGCACCAAAGTTTCGTTACTTCATTTAGCTAATTAATCATTAATTGGATATGATGTGCCATTTTTTATTGCTAAAGATTCTTATAAAAATTAACATAGATAAATATTTTTAATCAAAATATCAGATATCAGAGAACATAATGGTAATAAGTAAATATGTGTATCTTTATTAATAAAACAGTTGCAATAAAAAAAAGGAACAAAAATTTTGGAAAACCATTTTCTTTTTCTACAATTTCTATTTGTTTAAAAAAACAGAATTTCTTAAATCTAATGTTCTAAAAACTAGAAAAAAATATAATTACATGGTCGAACATTTAAAAAAATGTTACGACACACTTGGATATGGCATGTATTATTATTATTTAAGGATTACTCACTGATCAACTCGCTATTCTTTACGCCAAAAAAGGGCATTACATATATTCAAATCTGTCAGGTAAAGTTTGGCCAACTTTTAAAATTATAGAAAGTGATCTTTAAAAAAAAAAAAATTGTAAAAATCAATTTGTGAAATTAAGAAATGCCATACAGTGTCTAAAATCAATCATTTTTTCGAGGGGATTAATAATATTTTTTCGTTTTATTTGAATTAGTAATAATTTAACGCGATTATAGATATACGGGAAAAAATCTTGCCCAAGTTAAAGTTAGCAGATATGGTTTTATATAGTCTTATATACGTACCACATGTGAATCGTATAACAATTTCAAGATAATGTTCCAATTAAAGCATATGCGAGAGCATATGTGGAACGGAGTTAAAGATAACAGTCTCGCGCCGAAGATAGTTTCATGACATGTA